TGAATTTTTTAAAACATTTTTTAATGTAGACCAGTCAGTTCTAATATAGTGTGTGATAAAAGAGGTCACTTTTGTTTACATACACATAACACTTTATAACACTGAAATAATTCATTTATTTTTTACAATCATTCAAAGTAATTTTTCAAATAATCTTGAGCACGCCCATGGAGTGGTCGGAGGTACCCGTTAAAATTATGCTAATTACTCTCTCGTTCATAAAAATAAACTATAATAAAGGAATAACTAATAAATTGCGTACTAAAGATACAAGCATCAAGTTTCTGTGGGTCGTATTACATGTCGGAATAGCAGGTAACGAAGCAGCGGACACAAATGTCAAAGAAGCTATAAACGACAACAGTATCCCCCTATCACCTAAATATGTAAGTATGGATCTAAAAACAATAAATGGAAATCCACACCAACAAAGCTTTAGGAAATAAAAAATAAGCTTGGACCATGACAACCACCCAAGGTATCCAGGCGAAAGCAAATAATTATTTTTTGTTTACGACTTAACGTATCCAGTTTTCTCCTGAAAGTGGGTGACTGCGGTTCACCCCTTACAAAAAAACATGTGCTAGTGGAAAAGTGCGAAAAGTTCAATCGTTACAGAATTAAACATCTTTACCAAAAAATCTTTGCCAAAAACATTTGAAATTCAGAAAACACTATAGATAATCTACTTTGAAATTGATATAATGTTGAATGCTCGAATAAATGAACTTTGATCAAATGAAAGGCAGATATCGAGCACAATATAATAACAAAATAATTTGCTTTTGTTTTTAAATGACTTTAATTTACTAAGAAAAGTGTAATTAATTGTTGCCGTTTCGCTAATAACCTTATTACTACATTACTACATATATTACTGGAGTCCACCCTTTGTTTGCATGTGTGTGACAATACTTTTTTTCCATTCTTCCCAATCAGAATGTATTGTAAATTTTATAAGCATTGGAGTGTACCAATTAACACATGATTCTTCTAAAATTAATCTTCCTAAAGAAATTGGATTTTATCGGTGCTTTTGTCGATTTTTAATCTACGTACTTTCAAACGTTTCCATTCGTTGTAAAATGTTCACATTTTTAACTGTGAATTTTTCTATTACGAATTTTTTGTATTGGTTTTTTACTACAGATTTTACATTTTTGTTTTTCATTTGATCTATAAAAATTTGTTCTAAAGCTTCCATTGAAACCCTAGTTGTGGACATTTGAGATTCTTCCGTGTAAGTACTTTGCTATTCCGATAAAAATTCTTAAAGTGTATATTTTGCTTATTAATTGGCATTATAAAGATTTCATTTTCTCTCGGTCTCAAATGAGGTTATGGCGATGCTATTTTAATTTTGCCATTTGTACTCAAATTATAAGCAAAAATGTTATTGTGAAGCAAATTTTGATTGACTGTCCAATATACTCAGTTGAAACACTAGGGGAAAGCGTTGTACCTTGGGACGGTTTTGAAACAAAGATTTTTATTATTACTTGGGCAAACTTTATAATAGTTTTATTAATACTGACTTAAAGTCCATGTTTTAGGGAATTTATTAATGTTTTAAAATATAAAATATGTCAATTAACAAGGGAGTAAAAAAATATTTTCTTCACCCTTGCTAAGTATCCCAAGGTACATCACGGTGTTGTACCTTGGGATACAGGGTGTTGTACCTTAGGACTAAGTAAAGGAGTGAAAGGGAAAAAATCAATAAAGCAAATAAATCTTATGTAATGCATATAAAAATACATAACATTAAAGCTATAAAAACATTATTGGACAATAACAGTCAATTAAGCAAATAAACCTTATGTAATGCTCATAAAAATACAAAGCATTAGAGCAACAAAAAAATTAGTGAACAAAAAAATCAATTTCGGAAATAAATCTTAGGTAATCCTCATAAAAATACAAAATATTAGAGCAACAAAAATTTTTACATAAAGACTATAAAAATACAAAACATTAGAGCAAATCTCTTACAACGGCTACTTTTACCTAATTAGTTCATGGGCATGTCATATGCACTGAAATTCACAGGAAACTTGAGTGATTGCTTCAAACGCTCCGAGGTTCCTGTGGTTGAGGGCGAAGGCAACTTGCATATGATTTCTCCCTCGTCTATTTCATATAAAGTTTCATTTCTTAAGAGAAAAGTATTTCTTCCGGTTTTAACAAGATATTGAATTTCATACAAAATGTCTATTTTTTGTACGACTTTTGCTACATAATAAACAGTTTTCTTCTTGCCATCAATTTTAACTAAAACATAATCGTCTTGTTTTATTTCTTCACATTCAATCTTCTCCTGTAAGGCTATATCCATTTCTTCCTCCAAAACTCCTTGTATTAATTCTTGCACGGATATATCACAATCTTCTTCGTCAGACAAAAAAGTCATTTCTTCATCCTCAGAACTGGAGGTCTCTATAATTTTGTCTTTGTTTTTCTTTTTGGGATTATTTTTGTTCTTCTTCCTATCAGAAAACAGTTGTTTAGGAGTGACAAAACTTTCTTTTTATTTTTGTTATCTTCAATCTCCTTTTTTTCTGGCGTGTCGGTCAGTATTCTGCACCTGCCAGGTTTTCTTCCTCTTACGGTCTTCTTTCTCATCTGGGCTTTTGGAAACGGGCGAATCGTTTCTGGTGTCACGATTTTAGATGTTGATGGGATCTGTAGGTGACAGATAGACGATGATGAAGGCTGGGCTAAAGTCTCACTCGCTTCAAAATGACTGGTAGAATCCAACACAACGTCATTTCTTCGTCGTTGAGTCTTTTTAATGTCTGTAGGCCTACCATTTGTATTTTCCTGAACCAGTTCACGATCAGTTACGTAGAATGAAAGAAACTCGTTGTCAGTAAAAATGTTTCTTTCAAATGGAAATATTCCTGTCACCTGAAAACCTTTCTCAATATTTTCTTTTGTAAATGCTTTGTTGTAAGCACTGCCAATTAATCCAGCAACATCATATATCTGGATAGGTTTTCCAGGATTAGATAACATCCAACCACTCATGGTACTGCTGTAGTATGTTTTATACGGGCCAAACACAGTTCGGTCTAACGGCTGAAGCTTATGTGAGGTATGGGGTGGGAAGGTTAACATCACCACGCCGTTTTCCTTCGCTAAATTTAAAGCTTCAATCGAGATGTGAGATTCATGGTTGTCTAAAATAAGCAAGACAGGTTTGTCTCGAGTAGGTTTCACATGTCTGATGAAGTGCTTCAAGAAATCAACAAATAACACTTCATTGGACCACCCACTTGGATTTGCACCACCAATTGCACCATTTGGGGCCCCAATGAGCATATGTTGTTTAAAATTAACACGAGGATAAATGAGCATTGGTGGAACGCTGTTCCCAATAGCATTGACACATGCTATCATCGTTATATTAATTCCTCTTTCCCCTGAAGTGACAGAACCAACCTGTTTTGTTCCTTTTGTACATAGAATTTTAGGAGGCACATGGACTGTTGAATTACCTGTTTCATCAAGATTGTAGATCTCGTTTGCTTGAAACTGATGTCTTTCTATGACTAGCTGTAATTGATCGAAAAATTTGTTCACGTTGTCTTTGTTAAAGCTTGTTGCTCTTGCAAGGCTCGTAGGCTCGGGTTTACGTAAGCTTAGGGTAGGGTGGCGTTTCCTAAAGCCACGTAACCAGAACTCTCCAGCAGATTCTGCGGTAATCCATTCTTTTGGAACTTTGATTTTGTTATTTTCCTGCTCTGCCAAGCCTTTCGCATACTGGAAGGCTAGTTTAAGTGTGTCTTTTTTTGTAAGGCCGTAATGCAGAGCAGCTGATTTTTTAAGATAACTAACTAACATAAGCTCTTGTTCGTTTGCAAAAACCTTTTTTACAGCATTTTTTTCACTGTCATACATAAAATTAGGCTGTTCATCATTATGGTTTAATGAAAGGTATTTTTGACAGTGTCTACTCAAAGTCAAATTGCTTAACTCATACCTTCGTGCAGCCTCAATAACCGTAAGTAATCCCTTCAGAACATCGTTTACTGCACTTTCTAAAGACTGCTGGTTGATCTTCACCCGCGTCTTGCCGTCTTTGCTGCGAGGCATAGTTCTAAAAAAAACAAAACAAATTCGGCTAACTATAAAGCGTTTTAAAAATAAACAACTTACAATAAACAACATTCACAAACAAACCAGCCACTCAAAAATTACTGGTATACATTAGGTCCATCAGAAAAAAATACAACGCTCCAGTACATACCAATTTAAGCTTTTCAAAGCATTTAATTGAAAAAAAAATCTATCAGTGTTGTACCTTGGGACGTCCTAAGGTACAACCGTAATTCAGTCCCAAGGTACAACACGGTGCAGAAAATTAAAACGTGTCTTTTAAATATATTTTAGGTTAGTTGTACACGATAAATAATTATATCATTTAGTAGAGCACATCTCAGAGTATAATATAATGTCTTATGTTTATTCATAAATTAAAGAGTAAAAATTAGAAAAAACAAACAATAAAACAACTAAAAATTACTTACCAATGAAAATTTCGTATTTTGTTCGGTAACTCACACACAGTTCTCTTAAAAGTTGCCAATCACTCTACACTAACCCCTGGTGGCTAAGTGAAACAATTTAACAGGTTAGTTTGGTCTGTCGATCATAGATGACAGAGCAATCAAGATCGTCCCAAGGTAAAACTGTCCCAAGGTACAACGCTTTCCTATATCACCACATTCAAAAAACATTAAAAGAAATTCTAGGAGAATCTTGAAACGTTGCTGACTTGATAGAATTCTTAAAATCTACAAACCTTTTTAATAAAATTTAACACAATACATCAATAATTATTATATACATTTTATACCATATTCAATTATCTATTCAGAGTGAATATAACAGGTAAGATGATAAGTTTTGCACATGACACAGCTATTTTCTATGATGCAAATAAATGGAGTAATTTAAAACCAACAAAAACCTAAAGTAGCCTTTGCTATAATTTAGAAATGGTAAAATAGTTAAAAAATTTCTACAAAATCGGGAAAGAAAAAAGAGAGAAAGAAAATCGGGTATAGCGTTCTTCAGGCCTTCTTCACACTCTTGGCGACAATCAGAGGCTCTATGTCAAAATAGGTTTTCAATTTTATCCGACTACGATAAAAATTTTCCTAATATTAGCTCTTGTCGGTCTTTGGCGACAATCAAGTGAATATCTTATAAAAAGGGACTCGTCCATAAACCGAACTTTTTTCCACTCTCTTATACCCCAATCTACATTATCACAAAAGAATTCCAAGCCTTGTTTCGATGAGCTGCGACAAATAAAGGGTAGTATCAATAAAAGGATACACTTTGTTTGTTTAATTATTTATCACTTTGAGAAGATTGGGATGATCTTGCTTCTGGCCAGGTCAAAGTCTAAATGTCTAGTCTTTTCTCTTTCAATATTATTGTCAATATATTGGACAATAATTTATATTGTACAATATATTGATCGTCTGTAGACCACATTGAATGATTGTGCAATATATTATGGGTATCAACATAACTTTGGTTTTATTGAGCAATATTGCGGCGTCTGTGAGTAATATTGCGCAATATTGGTTCAGTTTCATTTTAACAGCATTGTTGTAAATATCGCGGTACTGTAAAAAATATGTTTGCATAGGGAAAATGGGAAGATAGTTTTTTTTTTATATAGTGTATCGGTCGTTACCGGTTTTATATAATGTCAAGAGTAAAGATTATAGTACTACAATTTAAAAAAATGAACAGTACGATCAATTGTTCCAAACATACAGAGAATATTATTCAGAAGTTGATAATTTGCAGTTACCATCTCTCCACCACGTCTTACAAATATAGGACTTCCACAGGGTAGCATATTAAGCCCAATACTATTTATTTTATATAATATAAATATAGAAAATTGTATTAATAGCCCAACAAAAATTATTCAATATGCTGATGATGTAGTAGTTTACACAGCCCACAAATTATTGGATATATGTAAAAATAATTTTGATCTCTCAATTAAAGCTGTTCTTAATCACTATGAAAATATTGGTTTATAAATATCAGAATCTAAAACAGAAATTTGTATTTTCTCTAGAAAACATCAAATTCCACAAGGTCATCTGGAAGTAGGTAAAATTCAATTCCTTATTAAAAATTGTATAAAATATCTCGGTACTTATTTAGACAGAAAACTTCTATGGAAGGATCAAATTCATCAAGTCATAAAAAAGTCTGAAAATGCAATGAACATTCTAAGAGCCTTTTGTAGAACTAACTGGGGCGCTGATCCAAATGTAGTACTTTTATTTTACCGTACTATAATTCGTCCCATTTTCGATTATAGTTGTCATTTGTATGGAACTGCCGCAAACACACATTTAAATAAATTAGAAATACAAAAAAATAAATGCCTTCGGCTTTGTCTTGGATATTTGAATTCTACACCTGTTAATATAATGGAAGTTGAGGCGATAGAACCACCTCTGAAATTTTGACGGTTTTTAAGTGATAAATTCATTACTAGAGTCATAGGGAAAAATACTAACTATCTACAGGATATTCATATTTTATCAATTTTAGATCTAACTCATAAATATTGGACAAAGAAAAAATGTTCTCTTCTGGTAAATAGTTACTTGAGGATATCTCAATACCGACATACTTTCTACTCGTATGAAAATCAAGTTTCACCTATGTATTCCCATATATTAGAAGTGCTTTTCTCAAAACATATTAATACCTTTTTTATGGAAAGTAATTTAGATCCAGTCGCTTTTCAATCATTTACACAGCATAAATGGCCAAATTATCAGTTTTACTTTACAGACGGATCTAAAGTACAAAACAAAGTAGGATGTGCATTAATTAATATTCAAAGTGGATTTAAAAAATTATTGAAATTGACAGCTGAATCATCAATATACACTGCTGAAATGACAGCGATTCTTCTTGCATTAAGGCATATACATAGTAACGAACCCTACAACTGCATAATATTTACAGACAGTAAGAGTGTCGTCGACAGACTAACAAACGTACATCGGTCCAAACAACTAAATCATATAGAACTAGAAATTATGACTATTTACAATAAAATTACAAATTTTGGGAAAACATTATTATATCATGCTAGCCAAATCTACCCTAGACATAGGCGGAGAAGCTCCCTTGAACTTAATCCCCTTTTCAGACATTGATATAATTAGTAAACGGCATCAAAAAGAAAAATGGCAAACATATTATCGAAACACGAGAACTGGAAATAATTACAAACAAATGCAGCCTGAAATACCCATAAAAAGATGGTTTCATACTCTATCAAATCGCCATTTCATAAGGGTTATAAACAGATTAAGATCTAATCATGCTCTTACCCCCCTTCATATGTATAAGTTGGGTCTCGCGGAGTCACCTAATTGCAAGTGCGGAAAAGAAGGTAACCTATTACATATTTTCCTTGAATGTTCCCACGAATCAGTAAACGTAAACAAATTTTATGATAATCTTATTATATTAAAAATTCCACTTCCCGTCTACCTGAACAATTTGATTTTCTCTAGAGATATGAATATATTAAAATCGATTTACGAACGTATCAAAAACTGTAAATATAAATTGTAGCTTAAAACTAACACTTATATTTAAGTAAATATTGTATTATAGCAGAAAAAAATGGAAAAAAACAATATTTATTTAAAAAAATATATATATAAAACTAAATATATATATAAAACTAAATATATATATAAAGAATTAAAAAATAAAAAGAATAAAAAGGAAGATGTAAACCTCCGAAATGTTGAATCGGGTTATGTCTTCGCGCAGAAAAAAAAAAAAGAATTAAAAAATATGTATTTATTAACAATGTACTTAATATAATTAATAAAAAATGTAATTTATTAACAATTGCATGTTAGATTGTACGGATGATTGTATGTTTATTCCTCTAACTGTAAAAAATTCCTCTGATTGTTAAAATTGTTTATCTTTAAATTTGTCTGGCTAATTGGCTCGGCCAAGGCTATCAAACTAAAATAAAAAAAAATAATTTGCAGTTAGGTTAGGTTAGGTTAGGTTAGTTTGCAGTTAGTGAAAAATTCAATTCAATGCCCAACTTTAGAAAGGAATTACATCGTCTAAGGGAAAATAGCGGTGCAAGGGGAGACTATGCTATTCAACCAACATTATGGTATTTAAGCGAAATGCAGTTTCTCGTGGATCAGGGCAAATCTAGTGATTCAAAAAGTATTATACAGGAAAGGGATAATGATAAGGAAAAAGCAGATAATAATATAAACAATGTTGACAGTGATAATTCAAATACTATTTCAACAAGTTTCGAAAATCACATAGTTCGCTAATTCTTAAATAATTTAATAAATTTTCATGAGTGTACTTATTTCTTTTTTTGAACCATTCTTTCATTCACCTCCGTTTATTTTTTTTCGTCCCTTGTGAAGCTACAGCTAATGTGATAGCCATACAACTCGCCGTTTTTTATTCCACGTGTTGATAGCGCAGGTTTCAGTAAGGAACTAATTTATTGTACAATAATATTGATTTGTGTGTTGGCCTACTAATATTATTGTACAATATATGCTACAATAATATTGACGCTAAAATTGACTGTCTAGGGGCCGCTTTAATAAAAAATATCAGATGATTTAAGAGTAAAGTGACTGTATCTAATTTGTTCTCGAAAAACATTTTTCTCAGAAAAAAACTGTGATTTAAGTGTGATATTTCAATGCGAATTGAAATTGTTAACATAAAAAAAAATAATGGCAAAAAAAAACAATTAGTACATCTTATTTGTCCTGACGAAAGTTTTAAGGTTTACAAAAATAATTAACTATCTTTATTTTTAGGTTTCAAGCATAGGCCCACATATGCCACCCGAAAAATGGCCCTATTTTGATGTCTGTCTAAAAGAATCGGGAGCTTCAGCTGACGATTTTAAAGAACGTCCCTTTAAGACTACTCATGAAATCATTTGTTTCTTTAAATGTGCCTATGACAAAGTAGGAGCAATCGATAAAGATGGGAAAATTAAACCTGATGTACTCATTAAACAAATTAAGGAACGCATGGAGCTTAGTGCGGATGTAGAAAAGTCTACTCTCGATTGTTTAGGGAAAGTTCCTAAAATTAGTGTTTGTGAAGACATTAAAGAGATACATGAATGCTTGAAGGTTCTTAAACATTAAAATAGATCCAAGCAGTCTCAAAATGTTTTTGGTTAAAATAAAAGAATTTTTTCGATTTTTTCTTTTTTTTGTTATTTTTATTCCAGCAAGAGAACCAAATAGTTTTAAAACTTGCGAGTAATGACTTACCAAATAGTATCAAAGAGATCAATGAAGTCAATAATAAACGCTAAACCAAACCTAATAAAAAAAATTGTTGTAGGTAACTTTTACAATTATTGGCAAATAAATGTCAAAGTGTGGATGTGCATTTTAAAGTTCTCCGCATTCTAAAGTTTATTTCGTTGGATTTAAAGCAATTAATTACCGCGTAATATACTAATTCAAAAAATAATTGAACAAAACAGAATTCTAAAGAATGGAGAGCAAACATCCTAATACCTCTCTTCAAACAGGGAGACAAATCGGACCCATAAAATTACAGAGGAATTTATATTTCAAATACAACACTAAAATTAACAACAAAGTAATAACAAATAAACTCAATGAATTTATAACACTAGCTGGTGAAATTCCATTTCACTTGAGATTAATTTTTCCCATGCCGATATTGCTAAGCCTTCTTAGAAGAAATAACAGAAGATATTTAACGGTACTTTTAGTTGTAGGGGACCATCCGCTACCTGTCTTTGAATACCGCTTTGAATATTATCAGTCAGTTTAGAAAAAGCTTTTACCTCAGTCGGTCGCAAAATCTTGTAAGCTAACAGTCGCTAGCTCGCAAATTCGCTTAATAATATATGATATGTATTTGTAACTAAATAGTTCGCATCGCAATATTATTCATAAAGATTATAAGTCAATCATTTATAGTAATCAGTGTTTCTTCAAACCGCAGTATAGTTTTTATACAAAAGTTCATCTATTCAAACCACCAGTGTTGCCAGTCGTATACTTTAAACATAGAAAAGACATTCCGCTAAGCAATTCTACTTGTAATTAGTTATATACAGGGTGAGTCATGAGGAACTTTCAAAAGGAAAAGTGTGGGGGTGCCTCATCATGCTGAAAATACATCCCTCGGATAGCAACGTTCGCGTTGGCAAGCAAATTCGGCAAAATATTTTGTAGAACGTTCAAATAGACCTGCCCTGTTAAAGGACCATCAAAAAAGTGAGGACCTACTAATTGGTTATTTATGACACCAATCCACACGTTAACCGAAAACAACTGAAAACGACGTTCTCGAATAGCATGGGGATTTTCTTCTGCCCACACATGTGAATTTCGTGAATTATTTATCCCGTCTCTGGTAAATTGGGCTTCATCTGTAAATAGTGTCCTGTATAGCGTTGGTCGATTATTGTTAATCCATCTACAAAATTCCAATATATCGATCTCATCTCCAGCATGTAGTCGCTCAACCATTTGAATGTGATATGGGTATAGATTATTTTTTTGTCAGACTCTACTTACTTTTGATTGAGTAACATTGAGTTCTCGACTTACTTGTCTAGTGCTTATTGTAAGGTTTATAGCAACGACGTCAATAATGTCATCTTCCTGCGCTTCATCTACATGTCGCTCTGTTGTTCCGCTAGGAAAAGTGCCATTTTCTCGCAAATAATTAAAAACTGACCCAAATATTGGATGACTGGGAGTTCGACGATTAGGAAATCTCCTGTGATTTTCTCTATTAGCAGCCCTACCATTCCCATTACAGAATCCATAAACAAATATTATGTCTGCATATTCTGTGGTCGAAAACTGATGTGGCATTTTGAACTAAAGTAACAAAAGCTCCACCAAAACTAACACAATGTACTTAACGTAGATATGACAGAAGAAATATGTATTCTTGTACACATAAATAACAATTGATAATGACAATAATGATAATCGGTATAAAATATCAAGAAACGTCAAACGGTCAACGCCAACCTTCATTTGACGTTGATGCAATGTATTATTATTTGACATAAAATTGTAATCATTTAAAATCAACAAAAACTAACACATACAAGAGGTTTGACTTTTTAATCAATTTAATTTATTATTTATCGAAAAAAATGCCCCAATACGATCAATGAGTAAAAATTTAAAATTGAAAAACAATTGATTCTATCGTAGAGATAATACAAAGTGACAGTAAAGATGTTAATTTTCTACGTATTAGATTATGTTGTAGGAACTCATTTTAATTAAAATGTTTGAAATTTATAACATTTGTTTAAATTAATACCTTATAATTTGATACTTCATTATGGTTGTTCTATTTTTGGTAAGATTTGATCGTTCACTAAAAATTTAATAAAAGTGCGACAGCATTGTCGCATATATCGTTTTCATTGGCTATTTATGTAGTTTGAAAATCACTTATTGCATTTAAAAAAAAATATATACAGGGTGTAATATTTAATACGAATCCCTAAATTAATTTTTCCAAAGTCAGTCCTGGAACTTTTTAGTTTAGCTAATACCAGTCGAATGCTTGATAGTAGTGTACTGTATCATGCAAAAATTAAAAAAAATCAAATGAGCCGTATAAACACTACAGTAAAATGAAATAAATGGTCAATTACACAAATCACCCTGTTAATTAAGAAAGAAGAGGAGTTGACATTTTTTAGTGGCCACATGATATGCTCCCTGAGGGACTCTACATATGGTAGAAGTATGTGAAGTTCCTCATGACTCACCCTGTATAATAGTGAAAATAGCGCCAGTGAAAAGTGTAGTTGAAATACCCCATATCACAGTGTTTTCGGACAGATTTCAGAAATTGCTATTTAATCTTAGTATTAAATATAAGCTAGTGTTTAAATCTGTTTTTAATTCCAGCCACAGGCTGGTGGTCCTTCGTCCCTTAATTCTCTAAATACGCTAATATCCAAACACTAGCTGAAGAACAACAAGGTTTTAGGTCACGAAGATCATGCACCGACATTACATTTATAATGAGGTAAGTGGCATAAGGAGGCAGAAACTGGCATATCTTTGTTTCGTGGACAATAAAAAGGCAGTTGACCGAGTCAAATTAAAGGCAGAATTCACAAAACAGTCATCAGACCAATAAGGACATACGCGGCAGAATAACAACCTGACACAGAGAGGACAAAAAAGATGTTAGAAACAGCAAAGATGGCAACACAGAAAAATTGGTAGTAAAACACTATGGGACAGAGCTAGAAATACAGATGTATGACGTAGATGTAAGGTGGAGAACATCAAGGACTGGCTAAGAAATAGAAGAGTAGAATCAAATGATCATATAAACCGAATGACAACAAATAGAGTAGACGACACAAAGGCGACAAGAGGTGGTTCTCCAATAGGAAGATGATCAGTAGGAAGACCACGTAGAACGACAACTTACTGGAGACTCATTGAAAAACAGACACAGTCATGTCTACATACAACGAAGAAGAAGAAGACACCGCTTAATTTTTAACTAACATCGGATGATCGGATGATAAACTGTAGTTTTTAATAAAAACAATCTCGCATGGTACTCATAAATGTTTTACTATCGTCTATTGGGGATGATATAGACTCGGAACCACTTTTAAATGTCTCTAAAGATATTGTTAAGTTATCTGGAGTTACCTGAATTTTGCATACATAGGGTGCAGAGACATTAACACTAACCAAGAAAGTAAGAAATAAAATTTGTGTTACCCAAAGAGCCATGGAACGATCGATGTTGGGCATTTCTCGTAGGGATCGGATCACGAACAAGGAAATAAGACAGAGAACAGGAGTGACAGATGCCATAGAAAGAATTATGACCCTTAAGTGGAACTGGGCGGGCACATAGCTAGAATGTCGGATAACAGATGGACACAGCGACTAATACAGTGGAGACCGAGACAAGAAGCACATCGAAGTAGAGGTCGTCCACCAACAAGATGGTCTGATGACATAAAACGGATCGACAAAAATTGGATGCAAACAGCACAAAACAGAAATACACATGGAAAATACTGAGGGAGACCTATATCCAGCAGTGGATAGATCCGAATTAAATGATGATGATCTGGAGTTATGGAGTCTAAAGAAAACGTGGTGTTCATTAGAGGATTTAACATAAATTCAGAGTATAATCTTGAAAATATTTTCGTTTATATTGAATCTTGATCTTTGATAACCATGTAAAATAGTTTATATCTTGTACAAGAAACTAGGAATTTCTGCCAAGTAAAGAGAATTCGTAAAAATAGAATTAAGGTTGGCGCTAACTTCCACACATGATGAAAACAGTTTTATAAATAATGATATATATATATATATATATATATATATATATATATATATATATATATATATATATATATATATATATATCCGGTATTTAGGCAGCACGCGCCCTTTCGGTAGGGATCTATGGAGAAATATCACCGAACCGCAAGCCCTTATGTCTTGCCGTATTGCTCCACCATAGGCCGATCAGATACTAGCATATTCTAGATCTAGACTAAGCCGCAGATTCATTTAGAATTTTAAACTGCTGCGTTAGCCTTTTTGTTTACTGTACACCGAGCTGGGGATTGAACTGACATCTCTCGCATTGAAGCGAAGGAGAAGCCCGCCGCCCAGCCCGCTTGGCTATCCGATCGACATATAAATGATAAATTAAAAGAATTAAATGTAAGAGCTTATATTCCAGGTAATTTATTAGAGATCAAGGTTTTAGTTCGGAATATTGATACTCAATTTGATACTGTATATTTAGAAGAAGATATTTTATCGCCGTTACTGACTTAAATAATAAACTACTACAAAGAAAACTAAAAAAAAATGGTTGTAACATTATAAACGTCAATTCTTTATTAATTTTATAATATATATAATATATATATAATATATATTTAAATAATTATTTTATTTTAATTTCTTTATTAATTTATTAATTTACTAATTTCTTAACCTTCAGTATCTTTTTTACTATTTTTTCTTCAAAAAATAGTTGGCGCCCTCTCTCTTTTTGTCCGGTACAGTAAATATTTGCCCTTTCTCTTTCTGTCTGGTAGACTAAATATTCTGTTCCATGTTGACCGAAG